TTGTTTCTTTTGGTTGTCTTAAATGTTTCATATAAAAAATACTTCAATCCATTTAGTTTTTTTGGTATTAAATAACATTGGCATTAAAGATATTACGATTTTGAGGATAAAGAAAGATATTGGATAACATTAGTATTGAATATATTTTAATAATGCAACAAAAATATTGATTGTTTTATAATAGTGGAAGCTGTCTTTTGGAAAAATTTTTTGGTATTGGGTAATTTTGGCATTAAAGATATTTGGATTTTGAGGATAATAAAATATGATATTGGATAACATTGGCATTGAATATATTTCGATATTGAAAAAAAAATATTGACTGTTTGAGAATAGAGGATGCTGGCTTTTGGAAAAGTATTTAAATAGATAGAAAGAGGTTTGAATATTGTTTTAAGGGTTAAAATTGTTTTATGGGTTAAATAATAGTTTGTGAGTTGAATATTGATTTGAATATTAATAAAAAGTGCAGAGGAAAATAAGTTCAATAATAATCATTATCGAAAATGATGTAATGTGGAAAAAGATTAAACAACGCTAATTCACGTTCATAAAAGACTATCATTGTTGCATTAGTTAGCTGAATTATAGTTAATGCAATATTTTATAGGTGAAACACATGTAAGTAAATTTTTTAAAGCAATAAACTAAAATAAACGATTTGTTTTGAAAATTGGCTTTATCAACAGTTTGAAAGTTGAAGAAGGATACCATGTCGAACATAGAAGAGTATTTTATTTTAAGTAATGAAGATTTTAAAATTATTGAAAATGTAAATGAAATGTTAAATGATATGCACATGTATAAATTTCAAGAATTATCAAAAAATGATTCAAATTCTTTTTTCATTATGCAAAGTACTTTGTATTTACAAATGCTTGATTTAATTGTTCCAATTAGAGAAAGAGTTAAACATATTCAAATAGTTTTTAGCGGTAATAACAATTCTGGTCATTGGATTTGTGTTTATTACGATGGAGTAAGACTTTATATTTTTGATAGCCTTAATGCAGGGTGTTTGAATATTCACCAAATAGAATATTTAATTAGATTGTTCCCTTTTAAACCAACAGAATTTTTTGTAGATGTTGATCAACAACCGATTGGTACAGTTAAGTGTAAAGTATAATGCAATAGCATTTGCAACATCTGTATTGGTTAACAGTGTAAATTAAAAGATTAATTTATGAAACTGATAATAATATAATGAGCAAGCATTTGATATCATTTTTTGAAAACAATTAATTAAATAATTTTCCGTCAGTTAGAATGTCTAATATTAGGATTTCGATTTGTAGAGAATGATTGGAATTGTCTTTTCATAAATCGAACTAAAGAAGTTCAAAATGGTGAACTAAACCTTTCATATTTTTTAAAGACTTTTCCCAGTAAAAATGACAACAGAGTTCTGTCTACTGAAACTGAGAATGAAAAGAAAAAACCCAAAGAAAAAAGTTTGTCCTGTAAGATGAAGAAATTATCTACAGAAATTGAAGAGGGATTTACATGTTGATGTAAATTCAGTATGCACAACAGAAAATAATAAGAAAATAATTTCTAGTCTTATTGTTAGGGAAAATTTTGATCCTATGACATATCCTACAATGTTTCCTTATGGTGATCCTGGATGGACTGTTAACCTTAAGCATACTCAAGGTACTTGTAATTTTATTCATTTACAATTTTATATGTATCGTCTTTCATAGAGAAGAAAAAAGCGTGGATTGACACATGTGCGTTTAACTATTTGTTTACGTACACAAATTTGCGATTCAGAAACTTTAAATAAAATGATATGTGCTGAAATCACAGACGAAATAAAGAATCCAGAACTTTTTAACATTGTAAAGCGATTTTAAGTTCATGGGCCTTGTGGTAAACAAAATAGGAATTCACCCTGCATGGATCCTGAGATGGGTCATTTAAATGTATTGCTGACAATTCGACGATCGTAGCATTGTATAATCTTTATTTGAGTACAAAATTTAAAGGTCATATTGACTGGGCAATAATAGGTATTATATTATTATAACACCATAATGTTGAAATAGTAATACAGTAACGATTACAAAAATAATATTATTATTTTTGTGAGATCAAAATTCCAAAAAGTGTCCGTCAAATAAAAATAAATTTTTAATTTTTCATAAAAAATTGCAGATATCTCGCGCGTTCACGCGCGTTTCTTTTAGCTAGTTAAAATAATATTTCTTGAATTATCTAATGCTCACAAATTAAAATATACTTTATATTATAACATTGTTAAACAAAATAAAATAAAAAAATAAGACCGAGTGATAAATTTATTTTACATATTATTAAATAAAAGTGTCACTTACCTTCTTTTAAAAATTGTATGGCAGTTTTTAATAACAAATGGTAATTATGACAAATAAAAATTATGACAAACCAAAAATATGACATTTTAACATTCTATTAAATGATAATTATGGAAAATGAACAATATGTTAAATTATAATTATACTAGATAAATATAATGTAAATTAAAAAATATGACAAATAAATATTATGTTCAAAAAAGTTAGAACAAATTAATATTATGTTACATACAAACTATGATAAAAGAACATTATGTAACATACAAATTATATTAAATGAGCATTATGTCGTATGGACATTATGTCAAATAAATTTTATATCAAAATATAGTTATGTCAAATGAATATTATGTCTTCAACAAATTATATTAAATAAACATTATATCAAATAAATATTATATTAAATAAAAATTATGTCCATTGATAATTATAACAAATAAATATTACGACATAAATAATTGTGTCAAATAAATATTATGTAAAATGAATATTATGACAAATAAATATTTTGTTCAAAAAAAGTTATGACAAAATAATATTATGTAAACAGTGATTTATAGTAAATGAGTAGTATTGCAAAAAATAATTATATCCTACGACTGTTATATTAAATACAAATTATGCTAAATAAACCTTATGACAAATAAAAGTTATTATGAATGAGCATTAGGTCAATTGAAACTTATGCTAAAGCACAATTATGACCAATTAAAATTATATCAAATACTAGTTCTATCAAATTTATTTATATCAAATAAACATTATGTCATTTGAGTTTTGGGAAAAATACAGGCGACTCCAGGTTTCAAATTGAAGAAACCGCCAGTTACTCTTTCAGTTTTTTTATCGATTGAAATTTTTTACTCCGTGTGGGTTTTCGAGGTCACTGAAGACGAATCTGATGTTAGATTTAAAAAATTCGAAATGGCGTATCGAATACTGCTTACGATGAAATAATATTCAGATTTTTTTGTTTCTTGCCTGCAAAAAGAGAACACGAACTAACTTGTAGGTCAGACTACGTTTTTCTAGATACATTTTTCTAAATTCATTTTTCACATTTTTCATTTCTAGATACATCTTAAGAAAGAGAATCTACCATATGGCAGTCCTGGCAATTGAAATTTGTTTTTCCTTGTGTGTCTGTGTTAGTCAAAAAACAAGGCATATCAATTTTTTAACTCAGAACCTCAATTTTTTTCTCTTAAACCCTTCATTTTGGGGTAAAAATAAAGTACCTAAACTTGGTACTTCGAATTCATACCGGAACCTAAAATTTTTTTAAGAAATATGTGCAAAAAATCAGTTTTTTTCAAATTGCCGCATTCCATGACATTTTAATAAAAAAATAGTAATTATAAAAACGAAAGTCATACTTTCTAAATTTTTTAACTACAGTATTTAGTATACAGTATAATATTTAGTATTTCTATACTAGAATGTCATGGAATGCAGCAATTTAAAAAAACTGATTTTTTGCACATATTTCTTAAAAAATTTTTAGGTTCCGGTATAAATTTGAAGTACCAAATTTAGGTGATTTATTTTTACCCCAAAATGAAGGGTTTGAGCCAAAAAAATTGAGGTTCTGAGTTAAAAAATTGATATGACTTGTTTTTTGACTAATTTGACTGGATAAGTAGCGCGAGTCCTGTCTTCGCAGGACATTGAATATTTAATTTCTTAGAAACAAAAAAAACAGTTTTTCAAAATTGAGTATTTTTTGAGAAAAAATCTAAGCCTTCCAATAAAAATGAAATAAAAAAAACGAGCCTGAAGATGAAAAAATTAAAATTTATTTTTCAAAAATTTTGGTCAAAATTTTTTTTTTTAAATCGATTACGCTAATCGAAAGATTATGAAAAAATCTAAAGGAATCATGTTTAGAAATTATTTTTTATAAGTGTGACACGCATTATTAAGTATTGTTTTTTTTCGCCCATCGGAAAGCAGCTCGAAGTTTTTACGTCGTTAGCTTCCGACGGTAGACTTAAGCAGTTGAGTAAATAATGTATCGTTTCCTTTAATTTCTTTAATTATTGTAATTCCTATTCTTTTACTTATTTTAAAGTCAATTATTTCTTTTCTCAATAAATGTATGAAAGGGGAATCTTAGTTTCATTGTCTTCTCCTCCTATTAAAATTTCACGATCATAAAGATAAAATTTAAAGCTTCACGTACCTTGGCAGCTAAAGTTTAAAAAAAAGAAAATTCGAACCCCTTAATAAAAACAAATTTGATTCCCAAATTTGGCAGCTTGGTGCCTCTCTAAACCAATTAAAGACCAACTTTAAAGTCTTTTATTAAATAAAAATATATAATATTATATAATTCATTTCGATGTGTTACATTTCCCACAAATTCAAAAATTATATCTTAAATTAAATATCTACTCAATTTAGTGGAATTGTACGGAGAAGATAAGTACGTGAAAGTTCAGACCATGTTGCCTTTTTTCAGAACAATAATTTATTCCATGATCATAGGTCGATAAACCTCATCGATATAATTATTTTCTAAATTATCATCTTTTAATGAGCTCCAAAACCATAGATTTCTAATAGATCTCGCGTTGCCGGTAAAATTAAAAATTTTATCTCAATTTAAAAACTTCTTTGCGTGGTAATATTATTTAGTTACAATTGTTAATATAATTTCAGGGCGACCTAAACCTTCAGTAACTTGGTGGCAAGACGGTAAGCTTTTAGATGGTGTAATGGATGCTCCAGAAATTGAACGCTATTCAACAAAATTTACAGTAAATATGTTATTTATTGATAAAGTTTCAAAATCATTATGGGGAACTAAATTAGAATGCAGAGCTCAATCTGGAGAAATAGGAAAACCTGTTATAAAGGAAGTACCGCTAGATGTATACTGTAAGTTTATAGTTTAATTTCATATTTAGTTTTATTTAGTGAACTGAAGTTAAAAAGATTATTAACGCTAAGTTCGTCAGAGCATTTAAAATGGTAATTTCGCTTATTTAGTAAAATCTGTCGCACTTTTACTTATTAACGGTAGGTGGTAAGTTTTTTAAAAAATATTTAGTAATCAATTTTTTCCAAAAAAATTTTTTTTGACAAGTTTTTATTTCTAAAAAAAGTTTTTTATCAAAGTTCAATTTCTCAAAAATATTTTTAAATTTTTCTAAAAGTAATAATTTATTTTTGAAATTTTTTCTTTTAAAATGTTGAATTGTTTGTATTATAATTTGCAGTCCCTCTTATTAAAAATTTATGTTATGCCCAACACTTCTAAGATAACTAAGAATATCATCTGCAGCATAATCATAATATCGAGACACAATAGTGTGAAGTCTTTGTTAATTTTACTTGTTAATATTTGTTAATTTTAGAAAAAAAATTTAGAAATTGTTTTTTAGAAAAAGTGTACCCCAACCATTATTGACATTCAAAAAAAGACTTACAAAACATCCACCCTTACTTCATACTGCTTAAGGGGGAGAGACTTTATTTGTTAACTTTTTAAGTTTACGAAAATGTATTTATACATAAAAAAAAGTTTCAATTTGTTGCCTGTAGAGGCTGCTAAAGTTGGTCTCGTCTCTCTGCATCGCAAATCGGTGGGCAAGATTCCGGTTAGACTGTTTAATCTAGAACGAAAATTCAAATTTTTTTATGAATTTGTAATAGATTTAGCTTAAGAGTACGTAGGATAGTTTAAAATCCGCTACGTACTCTAAAGCATTAGTAAATGCCGATAAAAAAAACTTTGGCGGAAGTCAATCCGATCAAAATTGTTCACACCTATCTTTAACGAAGAAAAAGTTGATACACGATGCCGAAAAAAACTCTTAAATAATTTAAATCTTTGTTCCCTAAATAAACAAAATTTCAAAGATTCAAAATCGTAACCGATCTTCCAGCATTATTTTTTAAGAATTTATTGTTGTTTTATGCATTATAATGAAAAATTACTTCATTACGATGCGATGTGCAGATCAGTTGAAATTACAAGTGCAATCTTTTTATACTTATTAAATGTAAAAATAATAATAACAACAATAATACATGACTATAATTTTTGTGAATAAAAGATGGATGATCAATTTTGTGATTTTAAATCCGTACTGTCAACAAAAATAATAAAAGAGTATTTTCCCTAGAACACCGCAGATGTAAACATAAGATTATCCGAATTTTCTATCATTTTTCATTCTTATTAATATACGCAACATTAGTTATTGCTATTCCAATTTGTATTTGTATCATGTATGAACATAAATAATAACAATTTGGTTAAAATTAGTTCAAAGTTTTGTAGATGTAGTTGATTTATTTTTAATCACCCGTGTTGTCATGATTAAAATAGAAATATTGTGCCTTATGTGGTAGAAAAAATGTTTGCAAAGACAGTAATTTAAAATTTTTGTTCTTCACAGAAAGTCAAAAAAAGATCTTTAAAACTTTTATGAATAAAAGTTTTTCTTTAAATAATTTTAAATTTTCAACGATAGAGTATGTTCAGATAATATTTTTTGACAATTTACACTTGATAGAAAATTTTGTTTTATTTAAAAAAAATTTCTATTCTCAAAAGTTTGGATCAGCTTTTCTTGATTTTTTGTGACGAAAAAAGTTTCTAAAAAAGTCTTTGCAAACAATTTTTCTACCACATAAGGCAAAAACATTCTATTTTAATCATTACAACACGCGTGATTTAACTTGTAGTAATAAGTCAATTTTAAATAGATTAAAAATAAATTAACTACATCTACAAAACTTTGAACTAATTTTAACCAACTTGTTATCATTTATGTTCATACACGATATAAAAACAAATTGCAATAGCAGTAACTAATGTTGTGTTTATTAATAAGAATAAGAAATTATAGAAAATTTGGATAATCTAATGTTTACATCTGCGGTGTTCTAGGGAAAATACTCTTTTATTATTTTTGTTGACAGTACGGATTTAAAATTACAAAATTGATCATCCATCTTTTATTCACAAAAATTATAGTAATGTATTATTTTTGTTATTTCTACATTTAATAAGTATAAAAAGATTGCTCTTGTAATTTCAACTAATCTGCACATCGTAATGAAGCAATTTTTCATTATAATGCATAAAACAACAATAAATTCTTAAAAAATAATGCAGGAGGATCGGTTAGGATTTTGAATCTTTGAAATTTTGTTTATTTAGTGTACAGAGATTTAAAATATTCAAGAGTTTTTTTCGGCATCGGGGACCAACTTTTTCTTCATTAAAGACAGGTGTGTGTTCGAGCTAGACTGCCCACCGTTTTGAAAAATGTGATCTCAAGAAAAACGCGTTTACAGTTTTGACGTATGAAAACTTATAGAAAAATAAACTCAACGTTAATCTGCGATGCCTGCACCGTATAATTAGCCTTCTACATTAATATTGGCTTCATCTTAAGTCTTTGGAGCGGCTGTGAGCGTAAAAGAACGCAATTGTTACCACTGAAAAAGAGAAAATAGCCGACAGCGCTAAAAAACACTCGAAGCGCACTTGGACTCCTTCTGCAGATTTCGATTTTTTGCACATAAAATAACTTCGAAATCACTTTTGATGAAATAATTTCTATTCTACACATTATAAACTATCGTTTAAGAAAACAAATAAAAATCGATTTTTTTCGGCTCAAAGCTCAAAGAAATCCGCGTGTAATTAATGCGGATTCCGCGAGTGAATTTGGGCAGGGAATAAATAAGGAAAAAGGCGTATGATTGAAGTCGTTGATCAACAAGCAAACTCCAAAAGAGCATATATCGAGGAAAAAAAACGAATTTTGGTTGAGCTAGAGCGTTTGTTGGACGATGGTAACTCAATGGGTAAACGGTCTAAACTCAAAACCCCACTTCCTTCAGGGTCAAATATAGATTTAAATCAGGCAGTATTTTCAGTTCTTAACCGGGCTGGAGAGAAAATTGCAAAAAATGATTCGGAGCATTTAATTATCAGGTTGAAGTCCGCGAAAAACTTGCCAAAATTTTCCAGTGACGTGTTAGAGTGGCTTCGCTGGTAAAATTCAAAGATAGAAATTATATAATGAGTACTTTTCATAGCGGCAAGTATAAAGTTAAAAATTATGGATTCAGGTTAAATTTACTCGAATAATCAAAATTTTTAATTAAATAATTTTTTTTAAATTATTTTATATTTGAATGTAACAGTTAGCAAACATGAAGTGAGAGAATTATTTCCACGTGTGGGGGCACCGCCTATGGGCCCCCTCTATCTCCCTTTTCCATGTACGAATGTGTGAGTGAGCGATTAGATAACCGAATTTGTATGAGTGACGAATTTGTCACCTCATTAGCATACTTGCTGCCTACCGGGCTGGTCGTCTATAGTCGTCGGTGTTAATCTTATATTTGTTACAATAAATAATCAAGTGGTTTATAATTATGTGGTGTTATAATTATTGATCCTTCGTGCCCTTCTCCGAGTCGTACTCAACTTCCTGGGACCATCCTCCAGGAAGATACCACACACGCTTATGTCGTATTGGGTTGCTACGCAGATAAAATCTTTTAAGAAATTGATATGAATTCTATGTCAAAGGTCTTATCTAGTGGGGTTATGTTTATATTCTCTTTGGAATTACGATCTTGCAGTTTAAGTTTTAAAGAAACTGTCAACGCTATTTTATTTTGGAGATTATTTAGAGCAAATTTCACTAAAAATATAAAATTTTTTAACTCTAAATAGTAAAAAGCGCTATATAGCGACTAGCGGTATTCATAATCCCACCACTGTACGCAGTGAAGAATTCATATGCTTTCAGTCCGGGGATTTCTCTAATGTTATATTTTTTCATTATTTCTATTTAATTAAATTTTTGTGATTCATCGATTTTGAGAAACGAATGAGTTCAAACACGATGTTGAATGACCATAAACATAACTGTTTAGGCAATTATCACCCACATACTATCAAATTTCCAACAAAGGGAATAATAGGTATTGTCTAAATTTAAAGAGACATTATCTTCTTAATTTTTATTATTTAATATAATGAAACACGTAAGAACTATATCATCAGATTTGATTGTTAAAATATAGTAGAAATTTATGAATAAAATAAAATTTTTATAAGTTTGTTTTGCCTATTTCTTATTCTATACTTATATTCGCTTGAAACTCGTTACTCGCGGGTTTTAGGGGTCCCTGATTACGAATCTGAGGTCAGTTTTTTAAAATAATTTTAAACGTTTCTGATTATAAAAAAAATTTATGACTTAATTTTCATTATAGTTTAACAGAAACTGTATTTTTTTTAAAAAAAGTACTAATTTTGTTGTTTTGTGAAAGTTAAACAAATTTATTTTTATTAATTTTCAACTGAAAATTTTTTTTTACTTATTTGTCTGCTATTAAGCCTGGAAACAAAAAATTTCGACATTAATTGGTTATTTTTTACTAAAAAAATTAAAAACAAAAAAAAGGTGGGACGTTCTTCGTCCCACCATACCGCAGAGGGATAAACAATTGATTGATTATCGTTTCGAAGAATTTGATGCTAAGGAAAATAATAATAAATAAAGGAATTATATTTATAATATTTTAAAATAAACAATTAATCTGACGATATAGTCTTTATTTTTTTAAATGCTCTTCTTCTTTCGAATGCTCCTGACAAGCGATTTTTCTCAGTGAGTAAATTTTTATTGTTAACTTCGAAAACAAATCGTGTTGGTAGAAATCGTGAGAAAGCTCCTGACAATCAGAGGTTCCAAGTTCGAAAGACTTGACTTTGTAGTTTTTATTTTATAGACTAAAAAATTTGTTTATCTCTTTCTAAATCCGTTTCTAACACTTGTCGAGAACAATGCCATTGTTTGACTGTCAATCATTTTCCTTTAACTGACTTTTATTTCCAAAAA